CCCTCTCAGGGTGAGTGTGCGCTGGGAGAAAGAACGGACACGTGGCTATTAGGGGTTTAACGGTTCACAAACATTTCGGTTCGGTACGTACCTCGGTTTTTAGGTCACGGTTCGGTTCGGTACGTTTTCGGTACAGCAGAAAAAATTATCACAAAAGATAAAATATATATATATTTTTTTTAATTATTATTAAACTGTGGATATTCACTCAAATAAATACAAAATATAATAAAATAAACATTAAGGTGCAGCAGTTCGATGAACTGAAATAATCTGTATTTGAACTGTACTAGTCCCGATAACGATAGTATCAGGTGTCCAATGTAAACGTGCTATTCTCTTCTTTCCTGCTCATAGTGGCCATCGCACCACAAAGTGTAAGTGTGACACTTTAAAAACTGTTTTGTCATGGATAAAAGAAAATAACTAACATGATCATAATTTACAGTCATTGCCATGCTCATCGAAACTAACTGGCTGCTAGTTATATCTTCATTTTTAATTAAATCTTATAACATTGGTATCAATTATCATCTGACTCGGCAAGAAAGCGTAAAGTGTTACACAAAATATTGAACTGCTCCTTCATACAATTCAAAGTTTATCAATATATGAAATATGGGTGAAAAACAAATGAATCTCTTAACTCAATGATTATCTTAAACTGAGATAAATATAGGTTGAGAGGTCTTGGAAGTTGTGATTATAAAAAGCCTTTTAAAGCAAACAGTTGTTATTTTAACCTGTTTTTGGACGCAAGAAAAACAGGTTGAGTGAGAGTGCAACAATTCTCAGCAGCTCCTGAGTCACATGTCCAAACAGCTCCATAAACCACTGTGTGAATGTTGACTGAGCACAAATCGAATGCATGAAAGGAATGGAGGGTGGATGTACTGTGTTTTTGTGTCTGTTGAAGGGTGTGTCAGCATTTCCTCACTTAACGGTGGAGATAAGGACACGCACACACAAACACACTCGTACAGCCTCTCGCAGGAATCCTCCCCGACCGGTAGAGTTTGCCCAGGGCTTAGTAGTATTATCATAGAGAATATCATTAAGAAGCACCTTAGCTGCTTTGAGTTCACATGACCTGATCTCTGCTTTTCATGTGAACACAATGTTCCTCATTCTCAGAGTTGAATATAAAAAAAATAATTTATGAGAAATATGTAGAAGTGGCAGCAGGTTTAAACATGAACAGTGCTCAGTGTAAGAGCAAATCTGTCAATGGATTTATGAATCAAAGTATATTACAATCACATTTAAAGACTGTAAAAGCCAGAGAAAAAAAAAACATAACCTGATGACTTTGTTGTAACTTATAGCCTGCTGCTGAGCTATTAACCTTATTAGCAGGTTAGTTCTACTGAACTGAATGTGACAGCTGAGTCTAACAATAGGCTGAACATAGTACTGAGCTGAATTCTGTATCAGCACTACACTGTTGTCTGCATTGTAGTGCATTCACGCACAGTTGTATGTACTGAAGGGCACTAACAGCGACTGCTTATCTTAGGGAAATAATGTGAAGGAACCACATAATTGACTCGCCAAAAAGGTTTGTGAATTCCTTTCAAACATGCATTGAGTATTTGTAAAGGAGAAAAGTAGCAATGCATATTTACATTATAAATTCATCTGTGATCTTTAAATCAACAAATAGTGAAAATATAACATTGCATGTCCAAAGACAAAAGGCAGCAAGAGACAAATAGCTTTTCACCAGCCAAAACATCAACGCCTCATGAGTCTGTTGGTGTGTCACCATGGCGAAATGTGCTCCTGGGGACCCTTACTGTAGTGGGAACCAACACACAATCTGTTCACTAATTTGCCAGTTGTTTATAGTTTTGTCTTTCTAGTCTTAAGTTTAAAAAAAATGAAAATATTAGCGTTTTTGGGCCATTTGATGATCAAAACAAGGCACTTGATGATATTTTGAAAGGCATGTGTCACTATATTCTGTTGTTTTGAATAATTGTTAGCTGCTACACCTAAACCCAAGCCATAGATTCTGGCCCCAGACCTATTCTTGAAACTTTCATTTGACTTTTTGTTATTTGTTTTCCTCTTCCCTTCAGTTGGTCCATGAGAAGGATGGCAGCTCCCTGCTGCAGGGCCTCGGCCTCTCGCTGCACAGCCGGGAGCGTCTGATCCAGGTGGGTGAGGCGATGAGGGGGGACAGGAGTCAGTCATGCACACAGCCGTGGGATCTTCTGCCGCTGCCCGAGCTTTGGCTCTAAGCTCACAGGAATGTTGTTTGTCTGTGTAGTCCTCCTACGCCCTTAAAGTGGCAGTGCCAGAGCTGCAGTCACGTTGTCTGCTCGTACATAGTGCCAGTGACACTGACGTGTGTTTGCTGCTTTTATTTTTAGCTCCTGATTAACAACAGGAGTTTTATTGTAAATCACTCTGGATGAATGTTATAACTAAACGGCCAAAGCATTCAAGACGCATAGTGAAAAAGAAACACCACAGACTAACTTATCTGAAAGGTTGCTTTAAAGGAATACAGCCTATTAAAGATTACAAATAAGTGACAGTATAACAAAGTCCCTTTTGGACTTTTACCTTGGGATTTATTCTTGGCCACACTGATCAAATGAAACAACTCTGTGCTTACTGTTTCCGTGATGAGATTTAGATGAGAATATCACGGCCACAATCATATATGTCTGGTAAATGTGAAGCTACAGACGGCAACTTGTTAGCTTAGGTTAGCATCAAGATCAGAAACCTTGGGAAACAGCTGCCTGGCTCTGTTTAAACAGCAAAAACTCAATATGGCCTGTTAATTATTGAGCTGGTAGGAACATTTGACTCTGCACGAACCTTTGCTAGCTGTTCCCCATGTTTTTGTGCTTAAATGAACTAACCAGTAAAGTCATACTTATACATACAGATATGCAAGTTAAATCAACTTTCTCAACGTACTTTTACCAATAAAACAAATAACGACATTACCACCTTCCAACAATTTATTTTAAAATAGGCAAAAAGCTTTTAGGTGTTTTACGAACATGCATGCATCTAGCTTAGAATAATACAGTGATACATCAGCTGTTTATATGCAGTGAAAATTGAGTTACATAAAACCTGGTCGCCTAAATCCTAATGTCAACACCAACATTTTCAGGAGGTACATTTAGTCTTGTGATTTTGAACAGATTTTGAGTTACTGGTTGAATAGATAAGTAATGCATTTGCCTGTCTAATGGAGCTGCAGATTTATTACTGCACTCCCTGATGTTTGCATATGTATCAGCGTTGCTCTGGCCTCTACAGTATGTGAACACTTGGCTCAGTTTATTCTTTTATTTTTTGGGGGGAACTTTTCTATTACAGTTTTCCCCTAACTGTGGTGTCAGATGAATGAGTTTGGTATTTGGTACTAAGCAGGCAGATGTTTCCTCTGCTACAGGAGTGTATGGGTCTGATCAGAAGGCTGTGTGTGGAGGAGGGAGGAAGTGCAGAGCTAGCCAACAAGCTGGCTGAAAATCTGAAAGAAACTACATCTGCCAACAAGGTTAGTGCTGACACTGTCCTTTTCCATCATCATTATTGACTTGTTTTTTTTCTGTCTGCTTATGATGACATTTTACCCATGAAGCAAAGCAGTTATCGGCAGGAGATAGACTCAATGCTGCTGCCCCTGAAGGCTTCTGTATCAGCAGAGCAGATCTTGTGGTTCCTACTTGTGCTTTTACCTGAGGCCTGCAGGAAGTGTTACCAGTCTAGCAGCAGCATGTCAGTTATTACCTCAGGCTCTGTGGAAAAAATAAGGCTGATGTATCACTTTTATTTTAAGTTAACTCCATTTTTACATTGAATCTCACAAAAATGAACATATTGTTTTTGATTGCAGATTTTAACTTTAAGTCAAACTTGCATTGACGTTGAATGAATTGAATCATTAAGATCATTTGAAAGTATTGTTACACACAGCTGGGAATCACTGAAAACAACAACATATTATCTTCCATATGGTGGCAACTGGCTTCTAATCACACTTTCGTCTTTGGCTGGTATGATTGTAAAATGGCTATTAGATTGAATTCTAAAAAAGGTCTCAAAGTCTTGAATGTAATTTGGTGAACCCTGCAGAAACCCTGGTCTGGAAGTTAACCTTAACTATACGTAAAGCAGTAGTTAGTTTGTCAAAACATAAATGCTACACCTCCTCCCGCACCACGTTGTGTTCCTGCGTTGTGTTAACCAGGGAGTAAGATGCTCAAAGTAATGTTTGATGCTTTGTGATCTGTAGGCTGCCCTGCAGACTTTGAGGTTGGAAGTGACCGAGAAGGAGAAGAGCATGGAGAAAGAGATCGAGGCACTCAGGAAGGCTGGAAGAGACCGAGAGAAAGACCTCGACATGCTCAACACCGTGCTGCAGTGCAACCAGGATATCATCAATGTAGGAACACGTACTGTACACGTACTGTACACACACACACACACACACACACACACACACACACACACACACACACACGAAACCAGGGATAGAATTGGCTGCATTGATGTTAAGACCACACACAGTGTTATTTTAGAGTACCCAACCCTAGTAGGTACTGTATACATTTTTACTCTGTCCCCTGCGCTGTTAACTTTGCGTGTACTTTAAGTGTTATTAAGAAAGACCTTCATTTTGTCCCCAATGCAGGACATGCGAGTTGCTCTGGGGGAGAAGGAGCGACTGCTGATGGAGGTAGAGAAAGAGAGGGAGGTATGGAGACAGAGGGATCGAGCCCTCACTGCTGTCCTGCAGGAGAAGGACGCTCTCATCCAGGAGCTGGAGAGCTGTCGCAAAGATACACAGGTAATAAACAACAATGTCATTTCTGTTGGGGGTAGTGTCTTCTTTACTTTTCAAAGCATTTAACATCTAACACAGTGAGACCAAGTTGCAGAGCTTGCGTTGTCTCTGTAATATTGAATAAGGAAACGTTTACTCACAACATTTCCCCCTGTCTGGCTCTGTGACTGGTCAGGGGTTGGCAGTGGACAGAGAGGGAAATGGCGCCACCTTGTGCAAGGAGGTTGAACAACTCACCACAGCCCTGCAGGAGTACCAGGACATGGTGCAGGTGAGACATTAGCATGAGGAAAGGATTATATAGCAATGATAAATGGGGGGAAACAAAGAAGCGGCCGACATATTGACCTTTTTCCAAAAAGAGAAAAAATCTTGTTACACTTTTTTTTCACACTTGAATTGACACAAAATAGGATTTCATTTGTTTTTGTTTTTAATTCAAGGCCATGATTGCAAGGTATGATAAAAACATATATGGTCATTCAATAAATGATTGACAAAAATTATGTTTACATTTTGGGTAATTAATTCATTGTTTCAGTCATTTCTCAAGCAAAAAGTGGGACATTACTCCTAATATTATCAGACACCAGCTTCTCAAAAGAAAACATTTGGTGTTTATTCTTTAAAAAATGTTTTTGGTCAAATATAAATCTCTACAATAGTCATATTGAGCTCTTGGAAGTTGGGTGGACATTGTTTGATGACACACAACACGGCAAACATCAAATCTCAGGGTTTCTAACTATTAATGTTTCTTTTCACCAGAACCAGCAGCAGAGCCACAGTCAGACGGTGTCCTCTCTGTCAGAGCAACTCAAAGACACCCGGCAGGCGCTGAGGGAGAAAGAGAAGGAGAAGAAGGAGGCGGACAGAGTGTGGCAGAACAGCAGAGAGGACCGAGAGAGAGAGGAGAGGAAGCTGAGGGACAGTCTGGAGAAGAGAGACAAACTCATAGAGGTGCGGTGCAGGAGTGTGATACTGATTGATCTTCTATGTTAGTCTACAACCAGTGTTTTTATACTGTAGACCTGGGGGGCGCCGAAGATCGTAGGGGGTGCGCCAGGCCTCAGATGATTAGACTTTTTTTTTTTACATATAATTGGAACGCAATATATGATTTTCGCTAAAAGCCTTGTCTACATTACAATAATATATATATAAAGAAATTGATTGATTAATTAGTTTAAATAAAAAATTCAAGTTAGTAGCTAATAAAGGCATTGAAAGACAGAAATGTATAATTCTTTCTTTAATAGAAATGTTTCTTCTTCCCGTAAAGTGTCCAAACCAGGCTTGTCTGGATAAGCGCATTTTTAAAACAAAGTCATTGTCCATACCGGTTTCAGTTAGATTATTTGTCACAGTTGCTTCGATCAGATCAGTCTCCTCCATTTTGTACATTATTTACGACTTTTGAATCCACATAAACACATCGGCAAAATCCGGCTTACTTTGAGCATGTGTTTCAAACAGTTTAATCCCTTTGTGAATTGTTTCCACTTGCGCCGTCCTTTAATTTCTTCATACAGCGGGAATCCAAATGAATGAATCCTGAATCCAATAACCATCAAAGTCACTCCAATAGTGCTCCTTAATTACGCTGTCATCCTCCTTTAACAAAATACTTCACATTCATCCAGTTTGTGACAGTAGTTGTAGCATTTTTGAGACTTTTAAACTTGAATTACCGCTGCTGCGCCCCCCACCCCACAAACCGGAGTCATTTGGGGGGGCTCTTGGGAAAAAAGGTTGGGAACCACTGCTCTAACCCATCCTAGTACTAGGAGCAGTGGGCAGCTATTGTACAGGTTCGGTGCCTTGCTCAAGGGCACCGACCATTTGAATATCGCACATTTTAACGCTCCCACAAGTACTGAGACTGCC